TTACGTAAGAATGGCTTTGTGGTGCTCAAAGGCCGACCATGTAAGATCGTCGAGATGTCTACTTCCAAGACTGGCAAGCATGGCCATGCCAAGGTTAGCATACTACTTCTCCACATTTGCCTTCCTCACGATTCCCAGGTTTCATGAGACTTCTTCCAACAAGGGGTCAGCAGTCCTCACTTTCTTCCTCTTTTCAATTTTGTTCTACATTCAGGCTACTGTAACTGTAGCCTCTCTATGGTTATCTCTGCATACATTTTTCTTTTTGTTTTACCCAATCTCAACTTTTTGATCTTTGCTGCCTCTATTTAATTGGTTGTCATTTCTGGTTTTATGGCATCAATGGGCCATAATTATGGTAGAGGTTGTGACAGTGGAGCAGAGTTCTGCTCTGTCATTTATTCATTTTCAACTTGCTGGCACCTAACAGATATTTTTGGTTTCTGTTTCCTCCTTCCCGCCAGTCTTTGTAGCTGTCCCTTTTGATCATTTTGCCCAGTCTCCATTCTTTAGATCTCTCTGTCCCTTTATATCTCTCATTCATAAGCAAACTGCCTTTATTGGCCCTCTCCTTAAGTTCCTTCCTTTTACTTCTGTGATTTCTTATCTAGTGATTTCCCAGCCTGCGTGCTTTCCCCCCCTCATCTATTGATTTAGTATTGATCCTGTAATACTTCCTAATGCTTAGATTCTGTTTGGTGCTTTTTGGTTTCCTTATTTTCTAATAAGGATAGGTCAAGTCATTTTTTGCTTTTAAACTCTCATTTGCCTTTCTCCTTCTACATTCATTTCCTAAATTCTTTACTGCTTAAACATCCTTTTTAACCTAGATAGCTCCTACATCCTTAGGCTGTTAACAGCTAGTGTGTTGATGTGATGGTAAAGAAGGCAAAAACGGCCTTTTCAAGCCTGCCAGCTTCTGCTTAATGCTGTTAACCCCAATCTGAATGATGGCGTTTTTTGCTTCAGCTTTAAAAAGCTTTAAAGTCACTTTTCCTGAATTCATTTCCACCTCTTTACCTTAACTAGCCTAACCTAGCTTCCCTCACCAGCCAGTGAGAACTTCCAGTATCTTATCTTCTCTCTCTTAGAATAAGTTTAGGTTTATTTTCGTTATATATGCTTATAGGTCCACCTGGTTGGTATTGACATCTTTACTGGGAAGAAATACGAAGATATCTGCCCCTCCACTCATAATATGGATGTCCCCAACATCAAAAGG